TAAAGTTCAAATTGACTTTTAAGTATTATTACGAATCTTTTGTATGGGAGTATAATTCATATTAAAAAAAAAACATTTTTACATTTGAAAGAATTTTAATACCCATTACATTTAAAGGAAATAATCGCTTATGAATGTACAATGTATAATATAATGTAATGATATACATCAGATATAACAACCCTTTTTCTAAATCTATCTATGTTCCATAAATTATATAAATTAAAATAGAACAACTACTCTACGTCTTGTACTACGTATTACTGAAAATGAATTGTAATAATAATTTTTGTAATAGTTACTATTACCTGACTGCGCGAGAAGGAGGGTTCTGTATGTAAGTATATTTCTGTGAAACTCTCTGCAGTTTAAACGGCTTTTTGAGATTTGCCTTCTGAGGTTGATACTTGATATATGAAAATTATAAAAATTAAAATGGCCGATTTTTGGCGCCATATTGTATCTTCTAAAAAATTATTTCCTTCAAAACCTATCGAGTGGGGTACCAAAATAAATGGCTTACAAAATATACAACTTAGATGTTTAAATTAATTAATTAATGTGGAATGAGAAATGCTGAAAAACAACAAATAAAAAATTATTTACAAAAAATAACATATTTTTCACTTTTTTAAAGCAAATATGAACTGTACTTTTTGTATACTGTTCATATAACTTTTAAAGGACGATGTATAATATGCCGCGCCTGAAATATTAGCATTACTAGTCTAGAACCAAACTGGTTAACCTAGACACAGCTACGTTACAGATTTCATATGTAATATATAAAATTCTCGTGTCACAGTGTTTGTAACAAAACTCCTCCGAAACGGCTTGACCAATTCTTATGAAATTTTGTGTGATATTCAGTAGGTCTGAGAATAGGATGTAAACTATTTTTCATACCCTTAAGTGATAAGGTTGATCCCACCCCAAAAAAAAAATTTTATTTTTTGAAATTTTTTTTTTATGATTTGACATTAAAAAATATATACAAACCTAAATTTTCGCTAGAAACGAACCCGAGCGGAGCTAGGGTGAGTCGCTAGTAAACATATATATTTAATTTATAAGCGTTTATTACAGAAACGTTACGAAAGCAAATCTGCAAGCTCCGTCGTTTATCATTCGATACAACATTGCTGTAAATCCATTCCTTTTTTGCCCTTGTTATATACTCGTTATAATTAAGTTGTTATAAAACTTTTGAACATTGGTACATTAAAATAATTTTATTGTATATTGACATTTCATTACCCAGCTTTTATCACTTTGACTTTTAAAAAAAAAACTGTCATGGACGATCATAAAAAAAAAACATTTAATTTTAAATAAATCTAATTTGCGATTGCAATTAACTATAACACGTTCGTCCTAAATCGATGTTATTTAACCATTTAATCTACTTTTTATTAGTTGATCTCTTACGAAATGTTTGACATTTGAAGCTTAGATGCTTTTACTTTGTCTGACCGAACTGACCAGTGCTTGAGACCTATTTCTTCATTGGCTATAAAGCTGAGTTGGGAAACAAATCATATCCTTTCACAAAAAGCCTAGTTCTAGGCTCTTATATAGTAAATGTACTTTGACCCTTATAGGTATAGTAATAGGGAATGCGTTTCCAAACGCCAATAATCAGTAGCCAATTGAAAGTACCCAGTCCAGTTTCAGTAATACTTAGCTTTAAAGCCCGTTTTCATCGACGGATTGACACATATTGTTAGAAGACTATAAAATAAAAAAATGAGTGCGTGTAAACTTTACGCGCGGTTGAAGTAAAACTTCTTTGGCGCTGTGGCAGATACCGCGATTAAATTAAAACAAATCAAAATATAAATATAATATACTTTATAAAATAGTAAATATATAATTTTATAAATAATAATTATTATAAAAATATAAATACATATTTTTTTTTATTTATTAATAATAAATTTGACTTACCCCTCAGTTACGCTTAAAGAAGTTTTTCTTCAATAAAGGTTTCTAATGTTTAATTTCAAAGAAAATAATAATTTTAGAATTATAATGCTATAAATAATAGGTAATTCAGACTGTTATTCATTTGTGTAATAAAATTAATGTCGATCTGGTAAATGTAAACGGGCTTTGAACTAATACATTATTAACAGATACAATTCACAGTTTGGCTTCGCCTAGAATATTCTACAATAGATATATACACTGGCTTACATCTAAACATATAGACGTTGAGTCAGATATTTAGTTGTCACGGACATAAATTCATATGAAACCATATTAAATAAATTATATACTTAATAATAATACTTTCTTAAATTTACGCGAATATTTGACATTTGAAATAAAACCTATCTTTTCGGGAAAGTCCCGAGTCTATGATCGCTGTATAGCATTCGAAACGTCGGGAACCAAAAACCTAAATAAATCCACGAAAAAATCCGAAAAGATAGTTTTTTTAATAATGTTACAAGAATCACAAGTTTTTGAAATAATTGAATAAAAAACATCATAAAGCTTATAGTCCGTAACAAGCCCAATACCACTTCGATGAGTTTCGCTATCACACATTACAATTTGGCTAAATTCGCTAATTAAAACAACTAACCACAAATTGTAGAACATTTGGTCTTCTTAGATTTCAAACAAACTACATACGAATAAGTAACAATACTTTATATTGTGTATTTACTCGTCCAGCTATTTTAAATTCAAATAACGACACAAGTTAGACCGGTGGGTTTTTAAACAATAAAACTCACTTAAATGTCTTAATAGATAAAATTAGGCTTAAAACTTTTATTTAATAAATTATTTTAGCCGAATAAATAAAAAAAAATATTTATTCGATATTATCAAGCAAATAGGTTTAGTTTTAAAACTATAGGTTGGGATATAGGACGATGATATATACCTAATATCGTACTAAACCCGAGACCGTCTAAATTCTACAGGTAAGTTATAAAAACTATATTTTGAGACCTTAGAACGTCGAGAAAATCAGTATTGTCTATCTATCTATGATTACAAAAACTACACGATCACACCCTAACACTTACCGAAAACCTATTATAGCCAGGAATTAAAGCACATGACTAAGTATCTCTACAGAGACAGAACTTCGTACAAACGCGCAATGATCGGTTTACTATTACTATGACGAGTTGACAAAACCGGTTATTTCCGGCTCGACTGTTGACAATGTCAGACCGAGACAAAACGAATGTGCGACCAGAAGTTTTCTTCATTCATTAAAATACAATTTAATAAATTATAATATTATAATTTTTTTATATTCCATTTTTTAATTTAAATTGGAATAAAAGACAGATTTTTGGACGCACATTCGCTTTGTCTCTTTCTAGAGAGTTTTCAGTTTCATGACATACACGTCTATGACTACTACAAAACAAGAGTTGACAAAACCGGTTATTTCCGGCTCGACCGTTGACAATGTTAAACCGAGCGCACCACGCTTAAAAGAAAACGCTCACACCACCCCGTTACGTAATAGAAGCTATTGATGCAATTGTATGAAGCTTTGTCTCTGTAGGAATATTTACTCATGCGAAAGTGACTAGATTGAAATACACGTAGCTAATAAACATTAACGGCTTAAACACACTGAAGATTTTCTATATAGCCTTTATTTTTTTATCAATATTAGTAATAAAATCCGACAGTGTACGCTCTAATTTAAATATTAAACGAACATATTTACAGAATATAAAACATCAATATCAATCGTTTTTGGCTGGAGACTTAATCCGCTAAACTAATGACGATTTAAAGCAGCTACTTAATACTTATAAGACCAAAAAGAATATATATACTTTTAATTAATCAATATACTAGATAAAGCATTTTATATATGAGAATTATATTTCGAAGAATGATATATTTTCTTAATAATACACGTTACGTACGAATTTCGTTATGATTCTATTAATGTTTTTGAATTTCAGGAAGTACATAAGCCACCCTATATCATATGTAAACAATAACTATGCTATACACCAAAATGATTCTATCCATAAACATCTAAACAAAGCATTCAACTATACAGCAGCAAAGCTTGAACGTAATCAAACAAATTAGCCGGTAATACTTCCTGAAGTCGCTCTTATTACTGTGATATGAAAAACCGACGTATACCATCTTGTACTATAATTCAGTCATTTTGTCTACATGAAATTTTCAAAGCATCTAACCTTTTCTACTAGTAACGTAACCGATTATTTCATTATTAAAAAAAAGAATAGAATTAAAAAAAAAACTACTAAATTATTTGGCACTTGTCAAAGTAAATACATTTCAATTCATAAAACGAACAGCATGAGCCTTAGTAATTCCTATAATCGAAAAAACCGCAATTAGGTCGATAGTTTTAAAAGTGGTTTGAGGATTGTGTAATATTAGTGTACGTACAGATTGTAATAAGTAGCGCAGAACTGATGGCCTATCGAATAGGTTACCAAGATATCTGATGGATACGGGAAGAGAAAGCATTTTTGTTGCTCAATTTTCTAGAAGAGTCACGTTTGGTTACCTTTTGTAATCTTATACTTGTGGTAATCTGGATTTGTTCAAGTATTACACTGGACAAAATGTAGGTTATCTAGAATCGTAGTCACGATATTGATAGATATAATCGATACGTTAATCGATTTTGCTAAAGATTTTGATTAAAAATATGTAGGTGATGATACTAGAATGGTATTACAAGGTATTACAAATTTGGTCCTGCCACTTTATTCACCAATAAAGCATATCTAAAGAATAAAAAGAACTAAAACGCAATTTTTATTTCGACACAATTAAATAAACCAGCTTTACGATTAGTATCAAATCGCTTCAATAAAAACGCCAAAAAAAAAACAACTGATCAACAAAGTCACAATTTGTAGATGCGACATTACGAATAAGAGCTAGTGTATTGAACTATGGACAGTTGGGTTGGGAATAAGAGATTAGGGAAGGCCACCAGATCCGACTCTGCCTCATGTATCCTTAGGTCACGCTCTGCCCAACATGGCGGCCACGTCGCCCGCCGACTGCGAGTGCAGGAGCGCCGTCCGCGTGGGCCGCGGGGGCGGGAGACGAGGCAACGCCAGCATCCCTGAAGGAGTGCTGCCCAAAGCACAACCAGTCACAAATTCGTGACGAGTTGCCTCCGTTGGCGTGATACGTCGTTTTGGATCCCATCTGAAAGAAAAACTATTTGTTATCTTCTTATGACAGTTATAAGTGGCTTGAATTACGGGGGAAAAATTCATTTAACGCGGCCATTTAAGCTAATGACCTGCTAATTGCAAGACCGTTTCTTAAACTTACACATGCTAACATAGATGTTAGCTAACTAATGACGTGCATTCCGGGTTATTGATATTACTAAATATAGCGTTTTAAAAGTCAAAATTAGATTTGAATCATTATATCTGTTATCAAAACAAAAATAATAATATACTAAATATCTATATGTGTATATGTCAGTTTCTCAAATATTGTTTGCTTTTGAGTTAGACCGCTTGTACTTACAGCTTAAGATACAGTATTTATTATAGAGTTAAAAAAATTACAGCCATATCTCCTGAAACGTTTATTTTTAACTAATTGCCGCTTGATTATTGTTCTCGAATGTTAATGTTTCTATTATCATTAATAACACCCACTGTTCTTTCAAAGTTAGCCCACTTTAGTTTTTATTACGTCCTTAGAGCTTACCGAGTGTCGCTAACATATGCATGGCCATATACAGATTCTTGAGCTTAATCATGTCACAGACTTTAATACCTTGTAATATTAAACCCCAAAACTGTCCATAAAAATAATAAAATTAATAAACTATGTCAAAATAACTTTACATTCATTTTTAGTGAAATATATAAAGCTGAAATCGTATTATAGTGCTTTTTAACCGACCTCAAGGAGGAGGTTTTCAATTCGTCGGAATCTTTTTTTTATGTATGTTCACCGATTACTCGAAGACGCCTGACCGATTTGGATTTTTTTTTCGTTTCAAATGGTATACTTCCCAGGTGCCAGCCGGCAATATCTTAAGATTTGAATATCTAATAGGTAAATATGTCTTTTACGTATCGAAATATATTAGATTTGCTTTGCATCGGCTGGCACCGACTTCAAAAATATCTGCCCCGCCTGAAAACCCCCGTTCAGTTATTTTTTACATTTCAATGCCTGGAGGTCGGTTTTTTTTTCAAGTTTTTATCACCATACTTCAAACAACTTTAACATACCAAAATAACTATTCAATTTCATAGACAGAGCTTACTATTGTATATATATCAGCTAACGTGAAGTGTTAATTGGGATTATTTTTGTTCTTTTAAATAACGTTAGAAGCATAATTACAAGTAAAACGAGAACATATAAATAGTGACAACTTAATTTGTCGCCATTTTCACAAATCAAATGGTTTTTTTTTGTTTTAAACCATTAAAGCCCTGTCTAAGAGAGTAAAGCACGAAAGTGATAGGGAGTTCGGCGACCGGCTGCATCTAGATCAAGGCGGTAGAGTCGTACCCACACCTATCTACAAGTACAGTTCGCATTGGTCATTTAATGCACATTTATAAATACTGTTGTCTAATTGAAACACGCTAAAATATGGAATTTAGGGCAGGTATTTAAGATTTCGTAACTGATTTAATATAAGTGTTTTTGAGCAGACCACCAACATTTCTAAGTAAACTTAATTGTTATATAAAATTTCTGTAATGTTTTTGCTTTTTACTATTAAAAACTGTGTTGAATTTGAAACTTGCCTGTTATTTTTTGCATGTAAGCCGCAAATTATGTATGGAATTGTACTAACATTTAAGATTATTTAAGTGGCTATATAAATTATACCATAATATGTTAAATCGCAAGCACATTTAATGTATAATTTTTAGTTTAAAATATATTTCATTCTAGCGACTTACTCTCGCTTCGCTCGGGTGCGTCTTTAGTCCCTAGGTACGTTTTAATTTTTTTAAGCGGAACCCTAATTCTTTTTTAAAAATAAAAGTTACTCCTTTTAACAAAAGCTATCTGCCAGTGAAAGTCTCGTCAAAATCAGCCCAACCGTTTCGGAGATTAACCGAAACAAACAAATAGATAGACAAAAAAATTAAAAATTGTGTTTATTTTATAAGTACCGTATATGTATAATTACATATGCATTTAGTAAAAAGCTGTTATTTTGACATAACAAACAGACACTTCAATTTTATTTATCTTTATAGATATAATCAATATTATATCAAAAGAACTTCATTCCAACCAACCTTCATATATTAACTTTCGCTGCGATGACATTACTTCTTTTACTTTTCCCTATTGTAAATGTAAATGCCACGAGTCTGCTCTGTACGTACTTCGAATGCATAACTAATAAGTACATTCGTCTCCAATTCACATAAATTAGAAAAGTTTTAATTTTATGACTTATACTTAACAAGTAATTATTGTAATTAACTTAAGCACATTTTTATTTCTTTTTCTTTTATTAGAAAATTAAAAAAATATATATGGACCTTTTGGCTACATTATGCCACAGATAATATAAATTAGTTAAAAATTATATTTAACTAGCATTGCATCCTATATGTTGACCCGGATAACCAGCTATCACCATACCAAATTTCATGAAAATCACTCAAGTGGTTTTTCCGTGATGCGGTAACAGACAGATAGACAGACAGACAAAAATTCTAAAAACTATCGATTCGGCCTCTGTATCAATAATAATGTTTGTTTCAATAAGATTTTCAAAAAAAAAAATTATTGTACAGATTCAGTTTAGTTACAATTTTATCATATGTATAGGCAGTTATGTATAGATATAGATAACTATACATGCCTATTTCAAACTATGACTTAACTTTCATTTTTTGTAATTATAATAAACGTTACATAAAAGAAATAATTTGTTTTTTATCGTAAACGCATCAGAAAAAAAATAAAATAAAATCGGTCAAGTGCGAGTCGAATTGTAATCGCACACGAAGGGTTCCGTACCAACGTACATGAACTTTTTATTAATATACTTTAACTCTTATGCATGAAGTATATTTACTTCGATAATCGATTACTAACGTTAAATTTATTTATTTTTATTACTTATATTATTATTATATATGTATATTATTATATTCCTTAAATGATATTGTATAAATATATGTTCATGAGATACAGCCCTCAGATAGACGGACAGACGGACAGCAGAGGTTTATTAATAGGGTTCCGTTAGCACCTTTCTGGTACGGAACCCTAAAAATGAAAATGTCAAAAGACAGCTATCTGTAGCTCTATCTAGCTATCGAGGGTTCCCCAAACATTAGAAATAAATTTTATGTTTTGTTTTAACATTCTATTATTTTACTTCAAAAATAAAATATGTATGTATTCCACGCAATTAAGCAGTTGTAAATAATAAAAGTATCTCGTAATATATAATTACAGCTAATTATCTTCTCCACCGTATAATCATCGCCGGATCACTTTCCAAATGAATAGTATTAGGATAATGTACCTATCTATGTTATTAAGATATGCAATAGCCAACAGGTGCCATTACATCACTTGATATTTGGATACTGCAACTGTCATTTTGCTGTTGCTAAAGATCGATTTACTTAATAAAACTAACATTGACTTAAAAGACAATGTTAGTTTTATTAAGTAAATTCTAAAGATAAATCTAAAGATAAGTCCTAGACCGCTGGGTCTGAAAACATAAAAATTTTCACAATAGTGCATATAACGAAGGTTAGCAGTTTAGCACAATGCGGACTGATTGTTGAAAATTTATTCCATAAACCGGACGTAACCTTGAATAGGGTATGTGCTTGTCTGTGGAATGGGAATGAAGTGGATAAGCTTCCGCTCATATTACGGTGAGCTATCAAATTATGGTGCTCACCATAATTCCACCACCACACACCATAATTTTTTTAACAAATATTTTTTTTAATTTTGAAAGTATCGTGACAGTATTTTTATAGAATAATTTATTGTGTAAGAAATATTACTACATAAGACTACCTGTTCTAACGACATACCGTGACTAACAGACACCACTTATTAATCTACATGATGAATATTATAGCATATTTGTATTTTTCCATCTATGTACGAGTAACTTACCACAAATAATTACCACAAAATAATATTGCTATATTTAATTACAATACTTATTAAAAAAAGTATTTAAAATTAAATCACACAATACAAATAAGGTACTTTGGTGCCATTTTTTAATTTTCGGAATTATTTTTAAAATTGAGGGTAGGCACTGTCTGTAATAGTATAATATGTATAGCGCCTTTGAGACTTCTAAAACTTTAGTCTCTCCCGTGGCCATGATAGCTGTAAAGCATTTGAAACGTCGGAACCAAAAATTAAAATAAATCCGCAAAATAATCCGAACACATAGTTTTATTTAAAAAGTCAAATATTCGCGTAAATCTAAGAAAGCCATATGTACAGCTGTTAATATCATACATATGTACATACATGTTGCTATTTAAGCAAATCTAAGAGAGAATTTATCACAATTTAATAATAACCATATAGTATCACAGATGATTCTCTTAAGAAAATGAGGGTGTCATACACCCACGCTCCAAACGATATATATTTAACTTGGCAGGTTTTGATGGCACACTTGTGTAAGACCATATTACAACAGCTTATAAGAGAAATTTTAAATTCTGGAAATTATTCATAATTGTATATAAATTGTCATGACCCGGCAGATTCTGTAATGCAACTTTACATTCTATGATCCAATTATTTGTCTTAAAGATAGAATTTAGTGATTTCTTTCATTGAAATGGCGCATCACTAAGAAAGAAAAAATATGAAGAGTGAAAAAAAATCAATTTATTATACCTAATACTTTTCTGTCTACGTTTACTTGAAACTTGGTAACCATTCTTTCCATTAATAATATTAGTATAATATAATTAACATCAATTTGTTCGGTGCTCGTATAAGTTTAATTAATGGTAAAACATTTTTAGAAGATGTCATATAAAAAAGACACCGGGCAGAATCTGAGTAAGTTGCTAGAGTCTAGTAGAACTCGAACCTAAGGCCTTTGTCTGAGAAGACAGTTCCCATTCTATCCCATTGGATCATAAGTCATCACTACCTCATTTCATGAGAAGGATGTCAGTGTCTTAGTAATGTTCGCTATT